TTTTTTAATTTATTTTATTTTATTTTACCTCTCTGCCATGTTTGGGCCACACAATTTTCTTTTATTTTTTATTGTATATTATTTTATTTTACTTCATTCTGGACTAATGTTTTTTCTGGTTTGTTGTTTTGTGTTTCCAGTCCATCAGCCTGATTGAGCGCGGGAATCCGTCCCGGAGTCTGGAGCAGGTGTGCCGCTGGGCAAACACGCAGCAGAGGCTCGACCCCGAGCACGCCGAGCATCACGACCACGCCATCTTCCTCACCAGGCAAGATTTTGGTCCCGCAGGTATGCAAGGTACTGTGTTTCTCTCGATCGAGGCTGTGCAGAGTAAGTGCTTCTATCTGTTTCTATTCTCGAACGGTTGGCATCAGACACCAGCTAATCTGATTCCAGACAGTGTAAACTGGGCATCGGTGCCAACCTGTAGCAACCAAAAATACTCTTTGACCGAAGGAGAGTTTTTGGCATGTAGAGGAAAAGAAGACATCTTTATAAGTAGCTGTGCACTCAACAATACTAATATTCCTAGTTTTTGGTTAAAAAGTTTCCCTTCTAAGTAGTTTGATGAAATTGACCAGTTATTGTGTTTCACAAAGTTGAAGTAATTCTTGCATGCATGCTATTAACAGGGACGGTTCTCCCAAAAAGTCATCATTTGCTCATCCTCTACCTGTATGAGTTTCTTTCTTCTGTTGAACACAAAAGAAGATATTTTAAGCAATCTTAGTAGCCAAACAATTGACGGTAGCCATTGACTTCCATAGTATTTTTTTCCATACTGTGGAAGTCAATGGCTACCGTCAGCTGAGGGTGAGTATATGACAAAATTTTCATTTTTTGGGTAATATCCCTTTAAATTCTTCTTTAGTAAACTTCTTTAGTAGTAGTAGTGGTTGTAGTTGAATAACTGGGCATCTTAGTCAAATAGACGGCTAATTTAATTAGGTGTAAATGAAAACGAGTCTGTGAGGGACAGTTCAAAGGGTTGTGCTGTTGTGTGATTTGGTGTTAATCAATTGATGAAACACTGAAAATGCATACAAAAATAAATAATAATAATAAGCAGAAAACACAAAAATGAGACAAAATATACTGACTGTACGTCTGTCTGTTACAGCCTCGTTTTCATTCACGTCACATTAAATATGACTAAGATCCATAACTGATCAAATATGTTTGAATTACATTAAACTGCTATTTCACAAAGACGTGTTAACTTCATGTAAACATGATTACATTCAAATTATAAACAAATGGAAAAAAGTGGATTTCCTGGAAATTTGTGTTTAATTTGAAAAACAGATGGAGTGTTTGATCGGTGTGTTATTTTAGTATCATTGATATATTATTATAGTTTTTGTTAATATTTTGAATTAGATTTTATTTTTATGTTTTGTTTTGATTGTAAGTTCATTGTAAGTTTTAGTGTTCATTTTCAAGTAACTGTTATTTAAGTTTATTTATGTATTTATTTATTTAGAAAAGCCAAGGCAAATAAACTTCATCACAGGTTTCTGTAGTGTAGAATAAAATGAAATGTCAAATATTAAAGTATGGCTTGCTTAAAATACAGCAGCACAAAAAAACTTCACTTTCATTGTTCTTCTAGATATGTAAATGTATTTTTGTTAATATTTTGAATTAGATTTTTTTTATATTTATTATATTTTGTTTTTATTTAATTTTACTTTGTTTTAATTATTTATTTTTTGTTTTTGTCTTTTTTTTATTCGTTTTTGATTTTTAAATGTGTCTATATAGTTTTTAAATTAATTTTTAATTTAATACTTTTAGCTTATTTATTTTTAATTATTTTAGTACTTTAAGTGAAACTAAATGAAAATGAGAAATGTTGCCTGGGCAACCAGTTGAAATGAAAGTTTCCCTCAACATTTGTTTTGTTTCGAGTAACAATATTGTTTTAGAATAATAATAATAATAATAAATGTCAACACAGGTTTCTGTAGTGTAAATTAAAACAAAATGTAAAATACTAAAATACAGCTTGACTAAAATACAGCAGCACCAAAATATATATTAACCTCCATCATTCTTTTAAGTGTGTAAATGTCATTGCATTAGATGCTGCAAGATCTTTTCTCTTCACTAACTTCACTGTTCTTCAGGATTGTTGAAGTCTCTGGTGTTTTGGTGATTTTAATAGATGTATTAATTATCTATTTAACCACAAACCAACACAAAACTGACTGTCTTCAACACGACATCTACTCTTTTAGGTTTTCAAACTAAACAAGCGTCCTGTATGCCTCTAAATTGTGTTTATGCATGGGTCAAAAGGGTTTAAGCATAAAAATGATAAGTGTAATACTGCTTTAAATTGTTGTTGTTTTTCCCCCAAAAATGTAAAAGTTTTCTGTTTAATGTAATTGCAATTTTGTTTTTGTTTTTCCGAATAAAAAATAAATATCATACATTTTCCCCTGATTTACAGAAGAGAGCCACTAAAATGTCATTTAGTGTAACAATCTTGTCAGGCATATTTACAACAAAAATCAATTTATGACATATTAAAAGACTAATTACTTTCACCCCAAATACTAATTAGTTGTAATTTAAAAAATTTTTTTTTAATTTGCCACTATCCTAGATTTTGCCTATTTGTCAGTAAGAATTTTTACTCATTTAAAACACAATAGAATTTAATATGCTCCCTTATTCTTTTATATATTTTAATATGTACAAGTCAGAATAAGCATGTTGTTTGAATTTTTACATAACTATAAGTGTTACACTGAATGACAATGTAACATTATTTCAAACAAATTTTGACATTTTATTCTCCAAAGACGTATTTGAAACCTTAAAAGTAGACACTTTATTTACATTTAATGTGCTTTCTATGGACATAAAATCACTTTTGTACATTTCTTTTGATGAGGACATCTTAACGTCTTTCTTTACAATACCTGACTCCTGTAAAATCTTGTTCTCATGCAGTGACATTCACACACTGACTGTATTACTGTCCTGTGTTTGTCTCTCACTCAGTCTTTTTGAAGTTTAGGGACTCGTTTCGAATGAATGTGTGTTTAGGTTTCGTGATCCTTGTGTGATTTTTAAAGACAGTCAGTAATACCTGTTTTGTGCTGTTGCTACGCCACGGTCTCTGTTGTGCTCATAACATCGCAGAACGGCAACCTTTTACCCCGAGGGCAAACATCACACTCCCGTCCCAAGCTTTAAGCCTCATTCAGAGCCCAGATATAGACGCATACATTGCTCACAGTAACACTCATGACTGAAGGTGTTTGGGAAAGGGTTGGTGCAGTCAGATGGAGTCAAGCAATAACTGATTCAGCGATGCCTGTGTTATTAACAGCGGTAGTGATTAGGAATGACGTGGTTTGGAAAATAGCTGTCAAATCACTGAAATGAGGCGCTTCATCTTCAGATGTTGCTCATCCAGCTCAGGGCATCAAACTAAATGTTACATGTTTTGGATTTGCGTGTTTTTCATTGTTTTCATTGTTTTAGATATATAAAACTCATTTTCTTGTTTGGGTTTAAATGTGTTGTAGTGTATATAATATGTAAAATAATATTATTATGTAATTTAATATTTAATATAAATATAATATAGTTTGATAAATGTGATATATTTTGTTATAAAATAAAATAATTATATATTAAATGTAATAAACAGTGTGTGGGTTTATTATATATATATATA